GCCGCAGCCCGCCGCAGAGCCGCCCGCCAGCTCCGTGGTTGCGCGCAAGCCGCCCTCCTCCAAGCGCGTCTCCTGGAGGGGCACTGAGGAGCTTGTCGAGACGCGCGAGTACATCGTCGAGGCGAAGAAGGCGGCGACCACCTCGTGGGGCGACCTGCTGCAGGCCGAGCGCGAGCGCGAGCGGCTCGCGATGCAGCAGCGCCTGTCGGCGGACAACGACCCGTGGGCGATTGGCGGCGGCGACGACGAGCCCGCGGAGGCCGCCCCGCAGACGCAGACCAGCGCGCCCGCGCCGTCGAGCGCGCCGCCGCCGCGCGCGTCCGCGTCCGCGCCCGCCGAGCCCCCGGCGGCGGCGGCGGCGGCGGCGGCGGCTCCAGCGTCGCAGCCCGAGCCGGTGCCGGCGCTGGTTGCGTGGCGCACGCCGCCCATGCTCGAGGACACGTTCTGGCCAAAGGCCAAGGGCGACGACAGCAGCGAGCGCGACGCGCAGGCGGCGCGGCGCAAGTCGAGGCCCGAGGTGTCCTTCCGGCGCATGCAGGACGTGGTGGGCATGCCGGCGGAGCCGCCGCCCGAGTCCGCGCCGCCCCACGAGCCCGTCGAGATCCCGTTCGAGAAGGCCGCCACGCCAGACCCGCCGCCCGCGGCCGCTCCGGCGCCGCTGCTCACGCCGGCGCCGCACCCGCCCGCCGGTGTGGGCGGCGGCGCGCCGGGGGGGGTCGGGGGCGTCAACATCGTCGGCGCGGGCGCGCAGGCGATGCTCCTGCAGCAGCAGCAGCAGCTACAGCAGCAGCGCCAGCAGCAGCAGGCCGCGGCTGCGATGCAGCCGTTTGGCGGTGTCGGGTTTGGCATGATGAGTGGGCCACAAAACGGGTTTGGCGGAGGCGGAGGCGGAAGAGGCGGAGGTGGAGGTGGCGGAGGCGGGCTAACCGAGAGGCTCATGGGTAGCTTCATGCAGCAGCAGCAGGCGAGCGCCCCCGTCCTCGCCCCTTGTGCACACGCCATGAGAGATGTGCTCTCGCGCCATGTCTCGCGCCTGGCCGCCTAACCCGCGGCCTGAATCTCTCCCCAGGCGAACACCCGCGTCCCCGCCGGCCGCGGTCTCGGCTTCCCGCAGGGCGCCGGCGGCCCTGGCGGGTCGCGGTATCGGACACGGCCGTGTCGCTACTTTGCTAACGGAGGCTGCAAAAACGGCGACCAGTGCACTTTCCTCCACGACCCCTCTAACCTCGGTACGCCGGCAGACTGGGGCGCGCCGTTCCGGCCCCCCTTTATGTCGGGCAAGGGGTTCCGGTAGCCCCTCTAACTGGTTAAACCCAGAAACACCCACGAACGACGAAGCACGATGTCTGCATGCGCGGTTCGTGCGGCGGGGAGACGCCAGACGGTGGCACCCAGAGGCAGAGCGAGGGCCCAGAGCGCAGCGAGAGGCGAGCCCGGAGCCGGAGTCGTCTCGTGGCGACGGTGGCGGAGTCCGGAGAGATCTCCGCACCCTCTTGGTCTTGCTCTTTCTCTTCTCACTTTGACTGAGATCTCCACACGCCGCTCCGCTCCCCCCGTGCGCCGTGGCTCTCCGCTCGCTGGAGAGACTCTGCCCTCTGCGCGAGGCGCCGAGGCCGCCCGAGGGCTCGAGGCGCGAGGGCCGAGGGGGGCGACGAGGGGCGCGGCCCGGGGCGGCAGCGGGGGGTGCGAGGGACATGGGCGGGGCCGCGGGCGAAGTTGGGTGACCCCGGTGCCGTGCCGGGACGTCTGGAGGGCGAGCGGGCCGAGGGGGGGTTGACGGGTGTTGAGCGGCTCTCTTTAAAATAACTTAAATTATGTGCGCATCCGCGCAATGAACCGGAGAGTGGAGGATGTGCGCGGGCCGGGGGAATCCGGATGGAAAAGAAAATAAACGGATACACACTTTGAGCCAAAAACGGACGCGAGTACCGAGTTGCCCCCACAAAAAACAGGAAGAGATATAGGCAGAAGGAAATACTCCCGATTAAAAAGCCAACACAATCGAAACTAGCGCAGACGAGAGCAGGGCAGACCCGGGGACTGGGGAGCCGGAGCGGACGGCAT